GGACTTTAATTCAAAATACTCAGCATATCGCATATCAGGGTACCATACTTTGCAGTGAAATTCCCTGGGCTCTTTATAACCATATGTATTGCAGCTGGGAAACTGGATGTACATTTTAAGAAATGGTGACTTGTGTGAAAACACTTAACTAATGTCAGTTAAAAATAAGAAAAAAACAAAACATTATATAATCATGTACTACACAGTGACAGATGTGGTATTTCAAATGTAAATTTGCTAATACATACCTTTTGACCATTAGATAAGTGCATGGGCATGGCATTGTGGTAGTCTTATTATGTTGTAAATTAAATAGACATAGTTTCTATTTTCAAGTAGGTTTGCTGTCTAAGGAGAACTAACAGCACATTTCATACTTTTACATTCAACTTTTCCCTGCAGATTTGCAAATTTATGTTTAGGAAAGAATACTGCAATTATGCACTTTTCTTTTCCCATCTCCGAACTCAAGTTTTAAAACATTTTTTGGATCATCTCATCATTCAAAATAACTATGAAGACTCTCCAAAATGCATTTCTTTTTAATTTTTTTTTCATCTAACTCTTTCCCTGGTATTTTCAGTCAGCTTATAAAAAAATTATATAAACCATCCAGGCAAAGTCTTACACATATCGAAAATGGTAGTCATTAATAAATTATTCAATTTCAACTGAAGACATCAGACATCTATTTGGACAATCAATGGTACTTTCACTTACATACTTTTCATTAAAAACATTCTGTACACTAAAACACTCCATATGTGAAACACAAGTTATGAAATCTATAAAACATAATGCAAATTATTCCCATTCTTATCTCACATTTGTCTTATTTATTTCAAGCTCTGCTGGTGCTTGTATAATTTAAGGTAAAAATTACTATTCAATTTTGAGAACATATTTCCCATTAAATTTATTCTAGATACAGACAGTTTTTTCCCTCAAGCTGACTTCTCTAAGTTATCTGTTTTAGTTAAAATGAAATAAAATAAAGGTTTACAAATGTTTAGTTTGTCATATGTTTAATTTCTATTTCAAACTATTATATTTCAAGTATTCCGATATTTATTTTTAAGTTATTGTTTTGTATCTAATCTACCACACCTTTACAATGAATTTGCAATTTTGTATAAATTATACAAAGCAGAATTTCAGTCCTCTCAGCCACTGTTTCACAATGATTTGGAAAAAGAAATATAGAAATGATCACATCTCTGCAGCTCATTTGGGGAGAACAGTATTTAAATTTTTCCTGTTGCAAGACTGAAATTCATCTTGATTTCCTGTCAAATGTACAAGGATTTTACAACATAGTTCATAATGGTATTTAATTCCTCTAGGGTACCAGTTAAGATAAACAAGTCACTGACAGTGTTTATCTATAAATACAGCAGAGGATGTGGGAGTGAGGTTAGTTATCAATTCTGCCTACTTTAATTTCATGGTTATAAAATGCTGTAAACTTCACTGTTTATAAAAGATGGGGAGGAATCTCCACTGGGCTTCAGTAGCCGAGAAACTCTCAGTAACGGGAGTGAGGTTAGTTATCAATTCTGCCTACTTTAATTTCATGGTTATAAAATGCTGTAAACCTCACTGTTTATAAAAGATGGGGAGGAATCTCCACTGGGCTTCAGTAGCCGAGAAACTCTCAGTAATATTAATCTTTCTAACTGGTATTTGGTATCCTCCTAGGGTGCAATATTTAAGGTTGTGGAGT